GCTGGGGTGTGGGAGGGGCTGAGGGTTCTGGCTGGGGGGTCAAGCTCTGGAGTGGGGCTGGATGGGGGTTCAGGATGCAAGAGGGAGCTCAGGGCTGGGGTAGAGGGTTGGGGCAAAGGAGGGATTTGGGGTTCAGAATCTGGGTGATGCTTACCTCAGGAGCCGCCTGGGAAGCTGCCATGGCTCTCTGGCTCCTTGTTGGAGGCACAACCAGGAGGCACTGTGCGCCTGCAGACACTGCCTCTGCAGCTGCCATTGGCTGCAGGTCCCAGCCAATGGGAGCTGCAGAACCGACGCTCAAGGCAGGGCAGCCCCCTGGCTGCACGTCTGGTTAGAAGCCAGAGGGACAGACAAGCTGATTCCTGGGAGCCAGGATTGGAGCCTGCTTCACCAACCAGACTTTTAATGAAGCCACCAGGGTACCTTTTCGTCCAGGTGTTCTAGTCAAAAACGGACACCTGGCAACCCTATCTGATGGGCATCTCAAGTTAACTCTTGAGCACACATATCAAAATGTGGATTGGCAAAGTTATTCCTAAGTGCAATGTTAGAGGCTACTGTTGATCTGTAGGGGCTTTTACTTTATCAGACCATACAGAACGTACATAGGAGCTGTGGTGCAGGTAGTTTGCTCATATTTCTAACAGAGCAAGAAGTCAATAAGAGGTATCATTTCTTAAAAATTCTGGACAGAGGAGAGGTGGCAATGTTGTGTTGTCATATAAAAAATTATGTTAGAGTCTGGGGGGAGAAGTTTGCAAAAAGCGGAAGACATAATGGAGCATACAGACCTATGAAAAGTCTTGGGGGACATCTGCTCCCCCTTGCTCTATAGCAAATGAGGCCCCTGAAATCGATATTTCAAAATATTACTTTGTATAATCTTTTAAACAAGAAAAAAGACGAGAGGAAAAAGAAAGGGCCCAGTGCTGTTATGTCAGAAGACCTCCAATAATCTTCCAGTAAAAGGGGAATACCATTTTCTCTATGAAAGAACCCTTCTCCCTTAAATGCATAACCAACTTTTGACTCCTGGGTGTAATAGTTTGACTTAGTACTAGTAATGCACATTATTCATATGGCACAATTTTGTAAAAAAGAAAGTACAAAGCAATCAAAGCACACTATTGATATGGCACAACTTTGTAAAGAATATGAAAACAGCCATGTAAATACTAATACACGATCAGTATAAACTAGATATTCTATATGCACATATTATAAAAAATGTGGTTTTTCCTTATTTTTAAAAAAAGTTAGTTTGTTGAACAGAGAGGTGCAAGAGACTAGATTTTTTTAAAAGTCCAAAGTATTGACTTAGAAAATGGTGCATCTTCAAGCACTCTTCAGTTCAGTGAGAACTCTGCTCTAGAAATCCCCAAGGAGGAAGTATCTCTGGAATGTATAATGAGGTGGGAGCAGTCAGGAGACAGCCTAACTCTTCAGCTAGTGGCAGGACACAATGTCACAAGGACTTTACAAATCCACTTTTTTGAGCAAACTACTTCATTGCAGAATCATTTGCCCAATGTCCATTGTCAATACCTTTGGTAGTTATGTATATACGCTATTGACAGGACGAATTCAGATTAAGGGCCCTTATGCTGCCTTCTAACTATACACATTTTCCACTAACCCAGACAGGAATGGCACTACTGAGAGAAAGGTAGCATATGGCCTGTCAACATTTAAATGTACAATACAGCATTTATTTTTATCTTTAATAAACAGGAGTCATGACACAAGACTGTCAATCAACGCCATCGCTGCCCTCTACTGAATGGAATGTCAGATTTCAGCAAGCATCTGTATGATCAGATTAACTTCTAGTGGCCATTTCTCACAGAGGCTCTTATTCTCCTCATACTAAAGCCAATAGAAAAGATGCCCATTTACACTGAATGGTGAAGGCCTGTGTTTTTAGGAGCAGCAGGGCCTGAGTGGTCTCGTTGCTAATAGTGTCATAACCATATAAACGCCTATTACAACACTATAACATGAACTAAACTTGAAATAAGTTGTGGGGCTCACTTCAGTAACTCCTCCCTATGGGGACAAATGGACCTATAACTTTTTGCCTGTTGGGAATTAACCATGAAAAGGAGGTAATAATATTTATAATACAGAATGACATAAACAGGTGCACGAAAACCAGAAAAACGGCATTAGTCTAAGCTAAAAGGCCTACTCTAGGACCATGCTGAGAGTTGAACAAGAAAACATGGGTCTGGAAATTAATGAACTATTCTGGTGTGTTAGAAACTATCTCTAACTGGTGAACAAAATGATGAGTATTTCACCCACCGTTCCCATTGTGGGTCCTTAAAGAAGGAGACTTTGTGAGGAAAATACAGAACAGAGCTTCTCCATCATGGCTGCCACCCCCACCATTTCCTGAAGCCCCGAGCCTTTGTCTTTCTAATCCTACGAGATGGTCTGACTACACTGGACCAGAGATAGGGACCCATGTGACATCACCACCTCTACTGGCTCCAGCTGACAGCTGGGATCAGACTTTAGTAGGAACAACAACAGCTCCAGCCCAGCTCAACTAAATTATTTTATTTTCCTCCATACAGGACTGGCCTTACCATGAGGTGAACTGAGATGGCCGCCTCAGGTGCCAGACTGTGGGGGAGTACCACTAGAACCCAGAGTGTAGATAGTTGTGTCTGATGCTGGTGCATATGTATTCTCTCTTCTCTAGAGAGGGGGCGTCATTTGAGCTCCCCGCCTCAGGTGCCAAAATGTTGTGGGCCGGCCCTGCCTCCATAGGACAGCTATTACCATCTTTTATACTATCTTAGGCTATGATTTCCAGGTTATTTCAAAAGCAGTTATTTTGAAATAACTCCTAAAATAACTATTTCACAATAAGCTTATTCCTCTTCACAATCAAAAGTTATTTTGAAATAAGCCCATTATTTTGAAAAAACGGGCTTGGTAGTGTGGACGCTTGCATTGTTATTTCGAAATAAGGGGTATTATTTTGAAATAACTCCCCTGTGTAGACATGCCCGAAGAGAGTGTCCAACAAGGGGTTTTTCCTTCTAAAACTTTCTCCAGCTGAAGGAAACAAGGGCTCTTGTTAAAATTAAAGCTTTATTAAATGCTGTACATTTCAAATGCTGTAACTATTTTTCTTTTTTGTATCTTTAATAAAAGATTAAAAGGATTGTTAATGGTGTGGTTGCTATGCTACTAAGCAGGCTAAGGTCTCTGTATACCAAATTTTGGACAGAGGCTGGGTTAGGTTAACACCTTTGGCACATTTATTCCATTTAAATTAACACAACGACACCACCATCCTTTGGCAAGTAGGAGGAAGGGGGACTTGGCGTAATTCATATGACTTGGCCAGCACAAGTTTTTTATGTACAGTCCCCAGCAGCAGGTAAAATCTCCTCACCAGAGGCCAGGGTGTGTCTTATTCTGTGTTTTTTAACAAAATTAAATTCATAATATAGCAGTCCCCACATTTTTTCAGTCACACCTCCTCTTACTAGTCATCTATTCGCTCCCTCTCACTTTCTCCCAGGATCTGTGGTCAGGAGCCAGGCCAGGGCCAGGAGAGGAGCCACATCAGGAACCAGGGGCCCAGGCTGGGGCAGGAGCAAAGCTGAAGGCAGAGAGCTGCTGGATGTCTTTCCTTCTCTGCGTCCCATGGGGGCTGGCCTGGCCTGGCCTGGCTCCCCCTTCACCCTTCAAACATTCCACCATGTCCCCCAAGAGGAGTGTGCCCCATAGTTTGAGGCCTTAATACAACCATTCCAGCACAAGTATGGATGGGGAATTTGAGGAATGGAAAAGGGAAGATAGAAAGTCTAGGGAAGAGGCTCACTCCTTCCATAATCCCAAATGTTATTGAAAAGAATGTTTAGTACTTTAAAAATATTCTTAATATTCAAAGCTCTTTAATTTGCACAATCCCCCTGAGAGACAATTCAATATTATCAGCCCCACAGATGAGAGTAAATCACAAAGCTATTAGGCTATGTCTACACTACAGAGTTTTTACTTCACTTACATCCACACTGCAATTGTGTTCTTTCGGGGAAAAAAAATCAAAAGAACAGAGGGGGGTTTTCTGACAGTGGTAAACCTCTTTCTATGAGGAAGAAGCCTCTTTCTGAAAGAGCTCTTTCGGAAAAAGGCGTGTGTAGATGGGGAAGAGGGAGTTCTTTCAAAAGAAGAAGAAAAAGCACAGGTGCCCTGGAGGCAACTCCATCCATCCACACTGAGTGGACACTATCTTTCGAAAAAGCTTTGGCAGTGTGGATGCTCTCTTTCGGAAAAAGTTTTTTCAGAAGATTTCTTTCAGAAAAGCTTCTTCTGAAAGAAGCCTGCAGTCTAGATGTAGCCTTAGTGATATTCTCAAGGCAAAGGAGTAAGTTGTATCATTGGCATTAGAAACCAAGAGGTTCTGGATCCCTGTTCTGTACTCAGGCCACTCACCCTTCCACTGCCATCTTTAGACATGCTACTGTTACACTAGCTGACATAAGGACAGGAGCTCACTCTATATTGGAGGATTCTGATGGATATTCCATCTAGAGCAAAAGGTCAAAGTCAGCTCTGAAGTAGAGTGTGCTGGAAAATGGCTCTTTTCTTTAAAAGCTTTGACTTTTTGTTGAGAAACAAGAAGTATTTGGTGGAAAGTGCACTCATTTTTAACATAAAATTTTTCAACCAATACTGCTGAGGAGTACATCAGTGAAATTCCTTTTGACTTCAACAGGTATTGTACCTGCCCACTTTAAAGCTGCCTTTGACCCATAGTTGTAAGGTGGAGAGGAAGTACAGAATGGCTAATGTTGCAGTCAATCATCACTAAAGTCAAGGTATATTTTACGATTTCCCCTGAAGAACTAGGATTAGCTCTTTGGCAACAGAGTCCCAGAAGTCTACAAATGCTGCTGCTGAGGCCTTAGCTCTTAACGGACTTAAAGTCAAGTCTTAAGATTGCTGAAAATGGTCTAATCAAGCTGGTAAAACACAATTTTATATAGTCATATAGATTCAATGGTTTGATCTCCTTCCCAACTTTTAATCCAGTGCTGTAAAGACCTGGAATCTGTAATAGAATCAAACCCCATATTATTGAACTATATGCTGATCTCTTGTGTGTCCACATCCCTATTTTTCCTGGTAATTCCAGATATACTCCAAAATCCTTGGATACGCTGAGTTTTACTCTATATCTAGCCCATGTAATCTTCCTGGTTAGGATAAGGCATGGGTCTTTAGCATGGCAAATGGATATTCAGATACTTCTGTGCCTCAAGTGGTTTTCACTTAGGAGAAAATTGGAGTAATCTTTTAGAAAAATGTCCTTCAATCCTCCCCACAACTTGCTGAAGTAACACTTGATCATTAAAAATAGCCTGGTTTTATGGACAGTGTTTGCTGTTTGTATGGCAAACAGTGCAGGGACAGGAAAACACAGGGATGCTTTGGCAAGTATGGTAGGGATACCTTAAGTGATCTATTTAACTACAAAACATGTATCCTCAAATATATCTTCACAGGAGGGATCTGTCCTTCTCTGCAACCAGATCTACAAAGTGCTCATTGGCATTCAAACTGCTTGCATCAGAAGTTCCACTTGGCTTAGGAATCAAAAGATGGAATGATTAAAATGTTAAAGTGTAGCACCATCAACACTTCTCCTGAAACCAAAATATGAGAACTGGATGGAAAGTAAGATGGAACAGAAACATTGTGCTTACGTCACATTAATTAGAAAACAATGGGTAAGTCATACTTAAGTCTGCACTTCAATAAACTGGCCACATTTACAGTTCTACTGGAAAGGGATTAGGATGGGTCACATATTTTCTCCATGGATTTTCTGTTTCACTCGTCCTGTTTCCTCTTGGGCTTTTTGGGATTCCGAGACCGGCTTTTTGCTTTGCAGAGTGGACATATCGGTGCATTCCGATGAATTTGCTGATGACATGATAAACAGGCCTGCAATACAATGTTACAGCTTATTAATTTGCTTGCATTGAAATAGTGCCTAGGCATCCCAGGCTCTGGGACTCTGTGAGCAATCTATTTCTCTATGAGGTAATAAATCCATGAAGTTCTGTTGAGACACACTGCTTATTGAACATCTTCCTTGCTCTAATAAGTTAGCTTACTGCACAGGAAAAATAAGTAAGAACTTGCATACTCAGTGGCAAACTGGAACTAAATTTTGTGGCAATTGTTCTTGGAGTCTACAGAAATATCAAGTAATTGAAAATGAAAGGATTTACTTAATTAGATTTTCAAATGAATAAAACTGCCAGTTCAGTCCCCTGTAGCATTTATTTTTATATTAAATTCAAAATTATTTTACATCTCCCCTCACATTTTTCTACTGACAATATCTGATTACATTAGATAAATCATTTAGGATTTCCTAGTTTTTGTCAGAAGGCACCTCTATCTAATCATCTAGTTTGACCCCAGGTACGCAACAGGCTATAGAATTCTACCCACTTATTCCTATATTGAGGCCATAGCTTGTGCCTGAGTAAGCCATATCTTTCAGGATATGTCTACAAGTGGAGATGGAGATGTAACTTCTGGCTCAGGTAGACCTTCCAGTGGGTAGTTCCGATTGGACTAGTGCCCTAAAAAGAAGCAAAGTAGCCATGGTTATATGGGTGCTGGAACAGGCTGACCACCCAAAATACACATACAGGACACTGAGAGTGGCTAGTCCATTCCAACACCCATGTAGCTGCAGCTTCAAGTCTAGTGTTAAGCATGCTATCTCAATGAGAGTTAGCACAGGTATACCTATCCAAGGTGTAACTTCCAGCAGGGGTCCTTCAAAAAGGCATCCAGTCTTAATCTGAAGACATCAAATGCTGGAGACTCTACTACTTTCTTTAAGGCATGCCTACATGGACAGCACTGCGGCAGCACAATTGTACCAATGCTGCTGTGCCACTGCAGCACACCTGACACTCTATGCCAAAGGGAGAGAGCTGTCGTTAGCATAATAAACTCATCTCTGCAAACAGCAGAAGCTATGTTGGCAAGAGACACTCTCCTGCCGAAATTGTGCTGTGTACACAGGCACTTACAGCCAGTGTGCTCAGGGGAGTGTTATATTCATAATCCCAGTGACTTAAATTATGCTGACATAAGCTGTAGTGCAGACATAGCCTTAATAGTTTCTTCTAATGGTTAATCATCCTCGCTGTTAAAAATGCATGACTTACATTTAATTTGAATTTGGTTTTAACTTCCAGCCACTGGTTCTTGTCATGCCTTTCTCTGCTAGATTGAAGCATCCATTAGTCCCCGATACTTTCTCCTTGTGACAATAGTATTTCTCAAGCTCAGGCATCATAGAGAAACTGGCAGCATCTGCCCTATGGCTCAATATACTCTACTGGGGGAGTCATACAACATACAGAGCCTGATTCTGATTTCCTGTGGACTGGTGCATCTGTAATAATGTCAGTGGAATTGCCTTTAGTTTGCCCTAGCACAGGCAAAATAAGAATTGGGCACATGATTATTTTTAATGCTAATACCTTTATGAACATGATATGTTCCAAATCACCCGAAAGACAAGTCTGTGCATTTGACACCCAAAAGACAACGCCTCACCTTCATTGGAGGGGGCTGTTGTCTGAAAGTTGCTGTCTGTCTGGTGTCTTGTTTCCTAGCCACTTGTAGCTGTTGGGCAGCAGCTGCAGCTGCAGCCAGAGATTCTGGAATGGGAGGTTCTTGTGGTTCTGTTTGCCATTCAGCTTTCTGCTTTTCAAAGTAGCTATACAAAAACAAATCAAAATGATAATCAACTGCTGGCCCATCATTTATTCATTTAATATGCATTGATTTGCAATGACTCTTCTGTGCTAAAACGTAATGGGCCAAACACAACTCTGGTTTTGTTCCTCTAGAATCAAATGACTTGCACCAAGTACTCATTTGGACCAAACATTTTAAAATGGGACAATGACAATAGATAAAATACAACAAGCGACCATAATCACAAGCCCAATGACAATCAATAAGTATCATCATAACACAGATGAAGAAGACTTGCCAAATAGTGAATTCCATTCACTCTGAATAGCAAGATCTAAGTTTTGGGAAATTGTTTATTGTTAATGAGCCAGATTCAAGCATATAACTGGTTAGTGGAATAATTACAGCAAAGTTGATTTGCTACATTTCTTCAGGTTCTTGTTTTCAGTTTTATCTTCAATGACAAAGGCAAGTTTTTTGTTTTTAATATAAACTGAGGATTTGGAACACAATTCTGCAACAAGGGATGAACTGCATAGTTATTAGTAGGGATGTGAATGGTTAACCAGTAAGCCTCAACCACTGAGGATGAGGCTTATTAACTATGGTTAACCAGTGGGGGCTGGAGCAAACACCCCACTCACCGCGGGCAGGAGGCTGTTCCAGCCCTGAGGAGCCCATCACAGGTGGGGGGTACTCCAGACCAGTCAGAGCAAGACTTGACTATAGTGGGCCTAGCCTGGGTGCACCGTGGGCAGGAGCACTCCAGCCTGGCTGGAGTTGCATCAGCCCATAACGGGGGTGGGGGCAGCTCCAGCCCAGCCAGTGCCCCTGCCTGCCCTGCTTAATCTGTTAACTGGTTAACTATAATGTTTAACCAGTTCATTAAAAGGGATTTTACATCCCTAGTTATTAAATCTAGGGGCAAGGATTGATTTGAGGATTAGTCATAGTGGATCAGGAAGAAATCTGCATGTTCCCACCCCATAAAATCACGAGAGACAAAACAAAGAATTTAGACCCATTCCCTTGAAGCATGAGGGACTGGTCTCTGCTGGATGTATGGCGAGGTGGAACATTCTCGGTAGAAGCATAAACATCCTCCCTGGTTGTCAAAAAGATCAGCATGTCTCTACATTTTTTCCATAGATCCAAATGTCTGGAGTAAGCCACAGTTTACCCAATTCTGTTTTTTTTTTTTAAACAGCTGTAGCACAAATTAGAACTCAGGCCAAGACTCACTAAAGCCACTCATGCAGTAGTAAACATAGTGTGAGTGATAGTTTTGGATTCCTCTGCATCATACCTATTCCTGCATCATACCCATTCCTACTATCCAAATGAAAGAAAAGGATCCTTTGGAAAAAATATCATGTAATGTTATAATTAGAGATGGGATTGAACCAAAACCTTAGATCCAAACCCCTTAAACTCCTGAATTTTCCAGGCCAGAGCTGGGGTTTGTAGCTTTGACTGCTCTTTGATCTTTGCCCCATATTCAGACAGAACCCTTTTGGAGGCTTGTAGGAGGCTAGCTCCACCACATTAATTTTGTTTTTCATGATTGCCTCCAAGTTCCTACCTTCCAGCTGGGCCCAGAAACGAAAATGACAAAGCTCCAACGGAATAATAAATGGTTACAAGGCCAAACAGATTTTGATCTAGAGACCTACTCAAGAGAGAGTTTCTCTTCCTCCTCACAAAGATCTGGTAACCTCTGCAAGCCCAGAGTCATCCTCAAGGCATCTACATGCTCCTTCAGGGGCTTGTACTCTTCATGCAAGCGTCGAGTGGACTCCAAGAGCTTGTTGAGATCATTCTCAGACTGCTTGATAGTGTTCTCCATCTGAAACAGAAGACATTTGCCTAACACAGGAGTGGGATCCATGGCAAACAGGAGCTGCAATCACCCAAAACTGCAGAGGCACAGGTAAATATAGCTGTGGGAGCCCACCAGGGCTAACCCTGCAAACCAGATCTGGCTCCTGGGCCAGTATTTGCCCACCCCTAACATTCACAATTCTCTGCTTCGCAAAGATGACACTGTCCTGCAAAGAGTGGAGCTTTTCACATTCAGGGTATGTCTAGATTACATCCCTCTTTCGACAGAGGGATGTAAATTAGGCACTTTGAAATTGCAAATGAAGCCGAAATTTGAATTTCCCGTGCTTTATTTGCATAATCACATAATGGAGCTCTTTCAAAAAAGCGCTCTTTCGAAAGTAAAACTGCAGTCTAGATGGTCTAAAGGGAAGGCTTTTTCAAAAGATCCTGTAAACATTCCTTTTTTGAAAGAACCACATGTAGACTGCGGTTTTACTTTTGAAATAGCACTTTTTCGAAAGAGCGCCATTACGTGATTATGCAAATGAAGCATGGGAAATTCAAATCCTGGCTTTCATTTGCAATTTCGAAGTGTCTAAAGAGGGAGGGATTACATTCCCTGCCTCTGTTGAAAGAGGGATGTAATCTAGACACAGCCTCAGAGTGGAAATGAATTGGCAGACAATGAAATGGCCAAACAAAGGGTGTGTCTAGACTACTGAGTTTTGTCGACAAAAGTTCACTTTTGTCGACAAAACTATACCTGCGTCTACACTACCGCTGAGTTCTGTCGACATAACGTCGACAGAACTCAGCAGTTTTGTCGACGCTGGTAAACCTCATTTTACGAGGCATAACACCTTCTGTCGACAGAGTTCTGTCGACAGAAGGTGTTATTGCCTGTAGGGTTGCGTCTAGACTACAGGGTTTTGTCGACAAAGCAGCTTGCTTTGTCGACAGAACTGAATGTGTCTAGACGCTCTATGTCGACAGAAGTTTTGTCGACAGTATCTGTCGACAAAACTTCCGTCGACAAAACCCTGTAGTCTAGACGTACCCAAAGAGTTAACATTCTGAGGGGTGGAATATAGGCAAGGAAGAAGCAGCTTGATGGCGAATGGCATGTGTTAAACACAGGTGAGGCAGTTTCATGCAAGGATTCAGCTTGCAGCTCCTTCTTCCTCTGCACAGCAGCCCAGGAAGTAGAATGTGATAACCACTTAGCTGTAGCACCAAATGGGAACATTTTGGAAAGATTCTCAAGGAAAATTATAAAAATAACCTTTAAAAAAATATCCACTGGGACAGGGCCAACTCATTCGCATTATTTCAAGCCATTCCAAATGCTCCATGTGTTCAAAAGTCTAACTCCAGTGTTGTTGGGTTTATGTTCCACTTGGGAAAGAGATTGAGAGAAGCATCAGAAAGATAAGCTGATGGAAACATCATGTGAAAGTGGGACAGCGTGAAAGAGAAGCAGCGAGTGGAGAGGGTGAGAACTTTCGAATGATAAATGAAGGTGGTATACGTGCTGTATATTCAAACCACCACTTGTGCCACCCCACACTTTGCAAACTTTTTACATCCCTAATACAGAGCACAGGCTTCCCCCTAGCTCAGCACTTTAAAAACATTTACTCACCGTTACAAAGGAGAAAAAGTTTAATATTGCAGGAGAATGGCATTCAGAATGGCAATTCAGAATGGTTTTGCAAACCCAGAAGTTCACAAATCCTCAGCATTCCCCATTGTTCCTCTCTAATAGTCTCCCTATTTTGTATTAATATCCTTCCACTTGTTTTATTATTTGTATCGCAGCAGGGCTTAGAGGCCTCTGAAAATTCAAGGCCCTCTGGTGCTAGGCATCACACAAGCATAACAAACCATCCCACTATCCCTGGCTCCCAAAAAGAAAACAACCCAAATCCCTGACAGCTGCCAAAGCCTCCCAGGTTCTAGGTGTTAAATTAAGCAGCACTAAGAGGGTTATTTGCTAAGAAGAGTCAGAATAACTTTACTATGGCTGCTGGTACCGTGGCAGCAGCAATGAACTTGGCTGTCCTTTTCCTTTGACGTAAATCTCCCATTTCTATTATTGAAAATCATCTTGCCTGATACAGACAAGCACTAAAAGTGGCTACATTTAACTCATTTGATACCATCTGTGTGGTCCTTTCATGCTGTCAGGAAAGCTCAGGTTGCATATCAATAACCTGTCAACTGTATATGAGACTCTGTATAACAGGGGCTGAGTAAAATATGGCCCACGGGCTGGATCCAAGCTGCTGGATCTGGCCTGAGGGAGCCTCAGTCTGCCCCCCCCTCCCCAAATCAGAAAAGCTGGCTGTGGAGCCATGTGTGTCTGTGAATACTGGAAGCCCAGAAGGAGGAGGGAAGAGGCTTCTCATGCTGCCTTCCTCCAGGTCACAACCCCCTCCCAGACCTTGCTCTCTAATCACCTGTCACTGCTACATCCCTGCACCCTCCTGCTTTTCTGCCCCAGACTCTGCATCCCAATCCCCTGCCCCAGGTCACAATTCAAATCCCTGCACCCCCTCCTACTCCCAGGCCCCTCCCAGATCCTGTAGCCCCTCCTTTACACCTCCTCCAAGTCATAATCCTCTCCTGGACCCATACCCCCTTCTGGACCCTGCACACCCTCCTGCATCCCAGTTCCCCGCCCCAGGTCACAACCCCTCCTTCACCCAAACTCCCTCCCAGATCCCACACCCCTGCCTGCACCCCAGTCCCTTACCCCAAACTCCCTTCTGCATTCCACTTCCATCTCAGACCCTGTATCCTCCATTAATATCATGGAAGAATGTGACCCTTCACCACTTACCAAATATTTGGAATGGGCCTCCCCTGCCCATCAAAAATTATTACCCACCCCTGATATGTAAGGTACGTCCTGACCACCATCTCACTGCTACATACCACATTTATGTCTGCATGGATCAGCCGCAGCTCCTCCACATGAGCCATTTTTTCCTGCAGCAGAAGGTCCATCTCCTGTTTGTATTCCTTCAGGTGCCTCTCCTCCGATTCCAGAGCTTCAAACTCTGCCTTCAGACGTGCCTTGATCTTCTCCATCTGCAAAGTCTTATTCCTATAACCAAACAAAAATTGCAAATATAAAAGGGACAGCTACTGTAATGCCAATGTAAATGCTCAGAGGGGTAGCTGTTTTAGTCTGTAACTTTAAAAAAAGACTAGTCCTGTATAGGGATGTTAAATTTCGATTAATCATCTAATCAAGTAGTCAATGGAAATTCCATCGACTGCTTGCTTAGTCGATAAGGAGGAGGTGGAGTGCTCACTATCCCAGCTGCGCCTCTGCCTTTTAAATGTAGTAAGAGCTGCCCATGGCTCTTACTATATTTAAAAGGCAGAAGAGCAGTGGTTCCCTGCTGTGCCTCTGCCTTCCCAGCCCTCCCATGGAGACAGTGCTGGGGGGAAATCAGCTTTTAATCTGGCTCCCACCTAGCACCAGCTCCCCCCTTTGCTGCCTCTCTAATAGAGGCAGCAAGGGCGATGGGGAAACGACTTATCGAGTCACTACTCGACTATCCGATTAGCATATGCTTATCGGGTAGTCAACTAGTCGCTTACATCCCTAGTCCTGTAGCACCTTATGGTATGTCTACTCTAGCTCGTTAATTCTGGCCGCCATTTTTAAATCCCCTTAGTTCGAACGAACTGCCCGCAGCTACACGCGGCAGTTTAAAGTTAATCCGAACTAAATCCTTAGTTTGGATTAACTGTTACTCCTCATGGAATGCTTCATGGGAGGTTCTGAAGCAGGACAAGGAGGTTGTTTGCAGGCAGGAGGTGTCCCCATCTGAAAAGGGGCTGGTTTGGCACCTCCTCCCACCCTGTGGTGACCAGATTTTTGGTATCCCTCAATACATCTGACCAGACCTACCACGTCCCCTTTTTGACTCGACTTCTGGCAACCCTACATGTACCCTACAGTCCGGTATTTGCACCCTCTGTCCGGTAGAAAATTTCAGAAAATACCAGACACATGCAATGTGCAATGTCCAGTATTTTCTGAATTTCCGGCTGGGCGCCGGAGGGAAGCCTGATGCTGGGAGTCCTGTGGTCACGTGCAAAAGCCGGGTGGGGCGGGGACAGGGCTGGGACTCCCAGCCCCCCCCAGCCTGGCTTTTGCACAGGACCAGAGGCTCCCAGTGCCACTCCAGGCCCATCTCCCAGATGGGAGACTCTGGTTGCGAGCAGAAGCTGGGTGGGGGAAGTGGATCCCAGCCCCGCCCCTGCTGGCAAGTAA